ACCACTCTGAAGATGCAAGCCACTTGTGCTTGCGAAACGTCAGGAAGAAATTATTTTCCATGACAGTTTAAGAGCTCGAAAAACTCTCTATAGTTGACAGGTTCCTGATGTTTCACAAGTACAAGTGGCTTGCATCTTCAGAGTGGTTTGCTCGGCGCAGCACCATTCTGAAGATGCAAGTCACTTGTGCCTGCGAAATGTCAGGAAGAAATTATTTTCCATGACGGTTTAAGAGCTCGAAAAACTCTCTATAGTTTACTGGTTCCTGATGTTTCACTAGCACCAGCGGTTTACATCTTCAGACATGTTTCACGTTCTTCTGACATGTCAAGAAGAAATTATTTTCCATGACGGTTTAAGAGCTCGAAAAACTCAACGGTTTTGAATTGAACAGTGCACTTCTTGAAGCACAGCGCTGCAGCCTTTAAAGTGTGTTTTTGGATGATTGGATTTTGAAAATCAATGAATGAAAATCTCGCCTATGATCAGCTGTGCATTTCACAGAAGTAGATCACTGGATGGCGTCATTTGCAAGCAAAAACCAGTTTTCGAAAAATGAATATTTTATCTAGGGTTCTTTGTGTCGTGTGTATCAAAATAGGCAAGAAAACGCGTTTCTCTTCAGTTTTCTCTTTGCGGTTACACTGGATTCTTGGTCACTTTGAGTCCATTTCATTCGGCCACCGTGCATAAACGGCATGTAGAAATGCGCAGAAAATTATCACTTATTACCAAACAGCATAACAATAATCGACAATAAACAATGCCCAATTTACAAAGCGCCAACACATGTGAAAGTGGCATATTTCGGGCGCTGTTGATCCCAGTGGCGCAACCGGCAAATACCACACAAAATTAACATCCAATGAATAGACTGCAATTAGACTTGTACTTTGCTAAACAATCGAAAGAAAAATGGGTGGGTGCGAATGGAGATTTTCGCCCTTGGCGCCAGTATGCGTGGTACTTTCAAATATGGTACCCAACCTTTCGGGGGCTGAGGACGGACGATTGGATGGAATTTCGAAAAAAATCAGGCACTGCCTGAACGAATGCCTTATTATATCATAATAGAAAACCTGAAATTGAAAGTAACCGAATCGATTCAGTTCATTGGGTGCTTCGGAACCAGATCAGCTCGTATATGCAAGACCGCTAGTATGTGAATAATGAGCGGCCGGAGCAAACAAGCGTGACAACAGGCGGGTTTTTCGCGAAGAAAACCCAAAAAATTGATTGCCTTTTTCAATTCAACCAGCAAAACTATGAATTTCAGATGGAACTACAGTTAAGCGAGCAGATGCTTTCAATTTAATGCCCGGTAAACTTGCATTAGCGCCATTCATTTCGCATGTTAATTGCCCTCGAGAAGTGCAACTTTCATTGAAAAGGCGCTGCTCAAGAGGAACACTTTTCTGCACATCGTGTTGGCGAACAATTAATCGACTCATTACTGAAACGGCCCATTAATACTAATAACATGTGTGGATCGAGCGCACACACATCTTGCGGAATGGACGAGGATCCAATTAGGTCGAAAAATGGAAAGCTTTTCGTCCTTTGCACTGTTGAATTAGGTTGCACACGCTTATAAACAGGTCGACTAACGATGGACTAATGAGGGAGTAAATAGAGAGTTTGGTCGATTGAACGCCCACATTTTGAATGTGGGCCGGCGTAATTTTTTATATAAATATTCGCCTATTTCGCCTGCCATGTAGATTAGGGGATTAACGCTAAATGAGTCATTAGCGATTTTTGTTTATAAGTATGTGCAGTAAGTGGACAAGTTTATTTATTAAAAGTGTACAAACCCGTATGATAAAGGAACAACAAACTATTTTTGCACAGCTGGAAGATTAAAGATAAAAGTGCTCGTCTCTGGTATGAAAACCGTTTTTTTAACTCGGAAGTTTTTGGGACGCCCCCATACAACGTGTTGTATGCACCAAAATTTAATCCTCACATTGAGACACAAGTTCACGTTTCTAACCATTTCAGATCATCATCGTTGGCCGCAACTTGCAATATTTTTTTAATTGACCCTCCAGTGTTTTATGAAATAATTAATATGAATTTTGGCTGAAATTTCGCCCTTTCCTAATGGCTATCGTGACTGCAAAAACTGACCTTAACTATTGCGTTCATTTTCCAGCAACTGGTAGAAGTGCCGGCCTTGATGGTACTTTTGAGCGTTTTATGATTGGCGCAATGCGCACATTTTGCGTAATTGCCGTAAATTGTCTCATAATATTTTGAAATGTTGTTCGGCCGATGAAACAAACCGTGCTGATTGTTATGTAAACCGCTAATACATAACGATATATTTGTAGGAATTTGGTGCAAACCATCAAGCGTAACTGCTCGTAGAAGTTCCGCAAAGAGTTGTCACTTTTACTTTTCTTCTTCGGCGAACCGAAAAAAATTAGATTTTTACCATATCAACCGCCTGCTTACCATAACTGTTTAATCCAATAAATCCGATTATCTTTTGATGGACGTGGAATGGAGAGACACACAAAGTTAGCACTTAAGAACTGGTCACGATCACCATCTCAAGACACTGCGGTTCCACTGGCACTCGCTACTGCACCACTTCTTGTAGATTCGTTCGAAGAAAGTCTTAAGGAGTGCTGTTTCGTTTCTTATACCGGACACCTCCAACTATGGGCTTTTCGATAGGGGGATTCAGTGTCCTTCGTTGGGTTCCTGCCAATGTTCTTCAAAGCTTTACAAATTCGATTGGAGATTGGAGGTTGAGGTTCAGGCCTGCTTTTCCCATATTTTGCTTTAAAGTGGGAAACTTGTTGGGGAGTTTTAAAAGTTCCAAACCTGAAAGTGAATTGACGTCCTTAAGAAATAGTATTTACTTGGTTGCTTTGGTGTGGATTTCAATCATTCCAAGTGCACAAGCTTGTTAAAAAAAATTGAGTTGCACACATTTAAAGTCTGGCTTGTTTAGGTACACTAATTTCTCCAAGTTTGGAAGGGTTTGAATCAAACTTAAAACTCAATCATCCGTTCCTTGATTTGAAGTTTAGAAAGCTTGAAGTGAGTTTTGAGTTTAGTTCTATTGTTTCTAAAGGCACTGAAACAATCAAATTTTGCCCAAACTTGTTGAACGTACTGGTTATTTGCAAATGTTCACACTGTTCAAAGGACGAAACGTTGGGAGGAATTTGAGTGAAAGTGAAATTTGGCTTACGCATTTCTTCAAGGCTCAAGATATGTGAGCAAATGTTGGCCTGTTTGTTCCTCGAATTAAAATTTATAAAAGTTGAGGTGAGTTTTCAGTTCTAGTTCGAAAGTTTCTAAACGCTCTTAAACGATCAAAGTTAAGCCAAAATTGGTCTTCTGTACGCTTCGGCTTGCGCCCCTTGAAAACTATGATTTTACAGTCGTGTTTGTTATTGAACGTAGAGGTTAATTGGAAAGTTTTGCACTGTTTAGAGGAGGAAAAGTTGGGAGAAATTTGAGTGAAAGTGAAATTTGGCTCACGCGTTTCTTCAAGCCTCAAAATATGTAAAATTTCGAGATCGTGTTTTATGAACTAAGGCCTAAGAAGCCAACCACTGCTCAAATTCCTGCAAAATTTCGTCAGTTTTTTTCACTCAACGCTTTTATGTGAGGGCAAAAATTTTAAATTTTAAACCGTATTTGCGAAAAAACACTTCTTGAAAAATATGTAACTTTGAAATAGATTGGCTTGTAGGGGTTAAAGCGAGTTTTTCAGCGCAAGTTCAAGACGTTCTCAGTCTTCTTAAATGCTCCAACTTTGGCCAAACGAAGTCTTTTGCGTTTCACTTGCTCCAGTGGCAAATTGCGACTTTAAAGTCTGGGGTCTCATTGAGCAAAGTGGTTATTTAAAATGCTCAAAACGCCCAAAGTTTAGAAACTTTCGCGAATTCGATGTTTTTAAGCGTTTACCTACGCGTTAAAGTTGGAGTTTTAGCGCTAAAACTTCTAAAAATCACCAACTGACCAAAGTCCAACAAGTTTGCTAGTCTATTTACTAATTTAATATTCAATCCAGAAAAAGTGCTCCTTAAGAAAATGCAAATTTCAAATTATCTATGGTTTCTTGAGTTGATTTAACTAGAAGCCGCTCATAAGGATTGAAGCAGGTTTTTGAAGTCCAGTTTAAAAGTTCTCTATGCTCAGATTTCGGCCACACTTGGTCTTCTTCGCATCTTCACTTACGCCCTTTGAAATTGTCGATTTGAGCACCTCGCTTGCTATTGGGCGTACCTACGGATTATTGCATTGCTCAAAGAAGAAACTGAGCCTGTTTCTTCCTGGAATCTTCGAAACTAGCGGCTTTCGAAGAACAGAAACTTATAAAGAAACGATCAATTTTGAACGAAACCTTCTGGGGAAATCCGAAGGATTTCAATAAACTAATTTTCTGTTTTTTGCAAATGGGAAAATTGAGGCATTAAGGACGCAAACCAGCGAATCTCTTCTACTGAAGACATTTGCAATACTTGCAAATGTTGATTGTTTAATGTTCCATTAACTCTGCTTTGAGGCTCGCGTGTTCCTTGGACTAGCAACAGCCGAAAGTGAATGGCAAATTATGCATAGATTTTTGGCCTAAATAATGTCGGTATAGTACAGTTTACCTTGCAAAATTTCGCCGGTTCGACCACTATTCAAATAGAGACGTTAATTATAATTTTGTGTAGTTAAGATTTGCGTTGTTGTTGAATAACTTTTTGATTTCAGCTGGCGGAATCGAATCGGGAAGTGCCTGGATTGAGTGAAAAATAAAAAAAATCGCCGAATCAAACCGCGCCATATCTTGAACAACAATAACAGTTGCCCCAACCGTTTTAGATAAACGCCAGTTTGTTACATAAAACGCTAGTTTTTGCGACGGGCTTTAATCCATTATTTTTGCATTTCACGGTGGTGTTATTATTTAATTTCTTAATTTTGCGTGATACTCGCTAGAGTTGGCTGTATTTTTTCCCTCGTTCCCTTCCATGTATCTGAAAACGTTTGAAAGTGAATTCGTGCCGGAATTTCACCGAATTGGTCAGAGTATAGTCGATTTTTTCTCATTCCCATTCAACAACAGTTAAGGTTTTTTTCAAACATTCAGGTGGAACTTCAGTGGTTGGATCGATTCAGTTATGACAGCTATCTTTACCAGATCCGACATTCTCAAGTGCAATTTTCCTTTCTTCGTCTGCACGAAAACCGGCTCTTCTTGTTAGCACAGGTGCGGTAGAACCGCGTTTTTTAGCAGCCCGATCCGGAGAAAGAGTGAGAGAAAGTCTTCGGAATTCTTAATCGTCCAAACCATGGCATACTTCCTATTTCGTCTATCAGTTGCAGAAAAAATGCTTGCACACTGTTGTGAGAAACCCCCATCAAAGCTGAGGAAATTGAAGCAGCTTGCCCGATTTGCTGCAAGAATATCTGAGGAAAAAGTGGAGAAAGGTGGCAACTGTGCAGGAATCTTCCGCTGCTCATCTTCACCTAATGCACTTGAAATGTGAACGAATTGAAGATGCTGAAGGTCAAAGTCGCCGTTGAATACCCGACGTGAACAGGCTTTGAATGAAGATGGTCTAATTATGATGGGAACCAGCTGGCGCTTTGTAATGCCAAATTATGCAATTGTCTGTGGGTTAACTGCATTTAAATGCACTAGATATGGTGATTACAAAAGGACTTTGTATCACGCAATTCAATTAGAACGAAGGATTTTCCGGCTTGAAATGATTAGTTTGCAATGTTGGTTGTATCTTCAACCAATAGATCTGGTTCTATAGGTTCAATCAGTTTCAGCACAAGCAACGGCCGGTTTTTTCCTTTGCACATTTATGCAAGTTCACAGTTAGTCTCCGGTGCTTTAATAAGGCTTCTACAGGGTGGCCCAACAGATCTTCTCACTTTCCCAGCAGAAAAAAGCGTCAATAATCAACTTGATTGAACTGAAATGGTGGATTTCTTGTCCTTTTTTTGAAGCGCATTTATGTGGTCAATTTGGCAATTTGAAAACTAAACATTGCATTGGTTCGACTACCTTGATTTCTCCCAGCCTGATTCATTTGCGATCAGTTTTGCAATATTTAGATCACCCATTTTAATGACTCATTGAAACGTTCTCGAACCGACCAGATCCGGGATTAGAATTACAACAACGTGGGCAAATGTTGAAGTCTGACTCAAAAGGGAAAACTGCGCTCTTACTCAATTTCTCTGTCCGAAGGAAGTAAAATATAAAATGCCATCATACACGCTGGTAAACCAGATCGTTAATTGAATTTACTGAATGTGGCTTTTTAAAGTGCAAGTGAAACGCCCGGTACTTTCACTAAATATGAATAATGATAATAATCAAGGCGTACCTACGTGAAGGTCGGCCGGTTTCGGTACCACTTCAATTACCATTATTAGTCCAATCTAGTAACATTTATTTATCTCCCGCGCGGTACTTTTTTAGCCTTAGAGCTGAATAATGGATTCGGCGATTTTTGCCTTCGGGGATTTAACCCTGACCTCTTGCATAGGTCAAGCAATTGCGTCACTTTCACCTAAAACCAGATTGGTTCCGCCCCAGTTTGGAACCGCTTCCAAGCCGGATGAGATTAATATTCAAACCAAAGTGAAATTATCAAAAAGGCTTAAGCCCGTGTCCCATGCATGGTTGGAGATCTGTCAGTTCAAACCATGCATGGAACACCGGCTTTACGCACTTTTATTCCTGACGTTTCACCAGCACGAGTGGCTTGCATCTTCAGAGTGAAGTCTGAAGACGCAAAACTGGCTGAACTGATTGGTCGACTCGGACATAAAGTGAAATTGAATGGATCTTTGGTTACTTTTCCGCAGGGGCGTATCCAGCTTTAAATTCGTGGGTGGTTATGTAGAAAAAATACAGTCTTCTGTTGTCTATGAAATTAGAAAAAGTATCGTCGTTTTGTGCAAGGGTGGCGTAAGATTATTGCAAAATTTCATGTTTTCCGTCCCGTTTTTGCTCATGTTTTACGCCCATTTGTAAATCATTATTTTTACGCCCGGACTAAATGTGACAACCTGTCACTGTCATTATAGACTCAAAAATAAAGGTGACAAATTGAACTTGTCGCTGTCATTATATTTTATGTACGCAAAAGTACGCTTTAAAAAAAGCTTATAAACTTAAGATATGGAATCGGCGCCTTTTATTTTTGGATATTCTCATTTATTATTCGTGTTGTGTTTCATTGGAATAAAAAATGGTGTTCGGTACGAGGGCGAAAATCCGTTTTTCGAACTCCTGACATTTTGAAAAAATTTGAAAAAATCACAATAATTTAAGGTTGTAATTACAAGAAAACATAATAAAATATTCAATATCGCAACACCGCAAATGAGGAAAATACTTTATAGTAAAATTATAGTGTATTATAAACTAAAATGTTATTATTATTTGTTAAAAATCAAATAAAAAAACTATAATTAAGAGGAAATGGACTCATTGGCTCACTGAGGGCGAGTGTGTCATCGAATTAATTCCAATTTTTGTACTTTTAGTACTTTTATTTCTACCCCCTATTTTCCATTCATGAATCACGATCCATAGAAATCAACGTTGCTCCCAAACC